ATAATTGTAAACATACTAGATTATACTTATAAGAATCTTTTAAGGGTTTGTCATCATTCTAACTTACTTTACGAGGTAAAATTGCTATCAATTGAAATGGTATCGTATACAACAATTTACGGTTAGTGCTTATCGGATAAAAGTTGTCACTCTTACTTACCGGGTAAGACTCTCCTTATAAAACAAATGCCATTTACCCACCAACTTTTGTGACGGTTTTGTGACGAATCAACCCTTTAGTAACGGATTTCCTAAGGAAACGTCCGTAGTAAAAGTCTTCCGTTTAGCAGTGTTTCTGTCTTAACATCGTTCTTATCGGATAAGATTCTTAGTCATGTTCATCGGGTAAGATCCCAAAAATTGTTTAATAAATGGCACTTAAAGAGATGTTTGTTTCTTTGGAGACAAGTGTAGAAATCTAGTCTAAAAATGAAGAGATAGTATAGTACAAGTGTTGAATGCATTTATTTATTTGTTTTACCATTTGGAATTTTTAGTTAATTTTGGAACTTTTTCACTTAAATATTTAATTTAATAATAAAACACAATCAAGAATTGAAAAAGGACCATTTATACACGAACAAGACTAATTTCATCCCTCTCAAATCCATGGCCGACAATCGTGAAGAACAATGGCAATCGTCATTCCTCTATGACAAACAAAAAAGTCGACAATTTTTAGATCTAATCATCGGTTACATGTTACCTATTTTTCTTTACAGAATTCTTATTCTTCACTTATATCTGTATCGAATAAGAGGTTAGATATTTTTTTATATGATAAGAGCTCAAAATTTCTCTCCATTTATCGGACAAAAAGTAAACTTATGTCTTATTAGACTCTGATCGTCGTCTTATTTCCCTGAAAAATTAACATCCTAGAAGATAAAAAACGAAAACCCTTAAGGGGGCGTTTGGTTTGACGGAATGGTTTTGAAGGATTTAGATCTCGTGAAAGGATTTGGAATTAGAGGGATTTGGATTTAGAAGGATTTTGAATTTTTGGTGTGTCTCGTTTGATGGTTTGGAATGGAATAGAATTCCATTTTTTATAAATAATTTATAAAAATAAATTATATATAATCATTAAAATAATTAAATTATCTTTTTATCTACGAATTATAAATTAAAAAAAAAAAACAATCGATACTATCATTAAATTAATTATTTAAAAGTTCTCGTTTTAGTGTAATTTCTTTAATTCAATTTTTATTATAATTTAATTGAAGTTTAATAACGAACTAATTTACTTTTTGTTTAAAAAAATAACTTTTAAGATGATAATTAAGTATTCTATTATAATTTAATAATTCTCCTAATTATATTTTAGCTTTTTTATATTTAAATGAGATGTTTATCCTTTATTTGATTATTTTTATCTGCAGTTAGTTACACGAATTCAAACATGAAACTTTAATAGGTTGTATTTATGCACAATTACTTGTAATTTTGAATTTTAAGTAATATGCATCAATAAATAATACTTCATGCATAAAAAATGATTTTTAAGAGTTTTCATCAAATGGTTTATAAATATAGTATAGATTATTATATACAAATTCTATGAAATCCCGTGGAATCTCAACCACCCCCAAAGGATTTCAAAATCCTATGTTTGAGGAATTTCAACAGAATCCTAGGATTTCAAATCCAGACAATAATGCATACCAAACACAGTATTGGAATGGATTTGAAATCCAAATCCTCCTAGTTTCATTAGATTCCTGCAAACCAAAAAGACCCTAAAAGAGCCTTTGTTTATGAACGATTTGAATTTCAAGCAAAGATCTGGAAGTGAAAGAATTTGAAATTTTTGATGTATTCGCTTGATTGAATTTAGAATGAAACTGTATCACTTTTTATAAATAATTTACAGAAATAAATTATAAAAATAATTTAAATTATTTTATATTAACTGATCATTACAAAACAAATATTTTAAGATATTATTAAACATAAATCCAATAAAATCCCATAAAATGCCAACTACCTCGTACCACACACCAAATGCACTAAATATTTTGAATGCCCACCATACATATTTTTTGTGATTGTCTTATATTTTTCCTTCAGTATTCCAAGTACAAATATGGTATCAAGTTCAAACAAAAAGCAAACAATAAATGCTTCAAAACCGTTCATTCTAGAGTTCGAATCGCCACAAACCTCAGTTGGATCCGACATGCTTTGTGTCTCGATGTCATTTTCACTCGAATGTGAACAAACATCATGAATGCGAATATATGCTCACCATATTAGCATGCCAAATCCAAGATCGACACACATATCCTTTGATATCATACAGTGGTGACGTATGCATTGGAGGACATAATGCACCAAACACACCAAAGGTAGATCCTGACCGTTCTAGAGGTCAATGATTCAAACATCGTCAGAAATGAGGACTGTCAATGAGTTTTCCTTATATAAATATTATATACTCAAAAAAACCCCAAAATCATTGTAAGATAACAGACCTAAAGACACCAAGTAGAAAAGTAGATCAAATTTCTAGATGTAGAATGATCAGATTTGTACAAATTCAAAAGCAGAAAAGTACATGAGACTATAACATTATTACTAAGAATTGAATGCAGAAAAAACACCAAAGGCATAAGAAAGAAAGTGAGAACAAGGGTAAAAGAGACAATTACTAACCTAAAACATTGCTGAAATTGAGATTGGTTAGTGATTTGTATATGCTTTCATCCAAGAGCATAGGTAACTTGTACATTCTTGAGATGTAAATGTTGATGATGCATCTAAGAGCATTAGTAAGTTGTACATTCTTCAATACCATCCACTTATATCCAAGAAGTACAAGTAGCCAATGCATGAATGGGATTTTCCGTATACCGTTAGCACACATGAAAATGTTGTCTCCAAATCCCCTGTCCGCTCAATCATGTGAATACACGTCATTATTTTATTTAATATAAATTTATTTAATTCATCTTTTTATTCTTATATCTAACCAAAATGATGATGTTACTTTATCTTTTTTTTTTTGGAAGTATATAATATTTATATACGGCAAATGCAACAAATAAACTCACACACCCTCCTCACCTATGGTGAGGTACTTTATCTAATTGATGGATAAGAAACATGGGAAAAACATATTTTTATTCCCCTTAACAACTCATCTCCCTTTCCAAAACCAAATTCCCCCATGAAGAAAAAGGTGAGTTAAAGCTTTGTAGGGACCAAATTAAATATGCCTGTCCTGTACTATCCACACCCCAAGATAAATGCAATGGAAGTGGTCAAAACTTCAATTAAACTACACAAATGAATCCAGTATATCCCACTTAGAGGTGGTCTAGAGATCTGTACCTCAAAGAGTAAAGCAACAGTAAAAGTAAAAACTTCAACCGGCTGCACCAAGTATGGGCAATCCTTTTCCAATGCTAAATTAGTCAAATCCAGTGTACAACTTCAACTGCATGAAGGGATTTACCTATATATTCCATCCGTCCCAAAATAGATGTCCACAATGAAAATAACACATATTTTTAGGATTGTGTGATTATTAAACTTTTATATCAAGTAAATGACACTTGTAGCCTTAATAATATAGACAGAAATTTTCTCCATCTCATAATTATGGGTATAATGGGAGAATAGACACTTATTTTGAAAAATGGAGGGAGTATAATGCAACAGAATTAAGGTAAATCCTTCTCCTGAAGCTAGTTTTGTCAAATCCAGAGCAAAAATACTTGAGTTGATGCAGTGAAATTTGTACCCAGAAATAATATGTTCAAAGGGCATGAAAAAGTTGGTCATACAAGTACAAAATCATCATCACCGCACTGGAAAACTACATGGAATCAGTTGGATCATAAAACTAAGTTGTCATGTTTCACCCTTGATAATTATTAGGAATCATCCTCTGGAAAAGGACTACCATCAGGAGCTGAAAACAAAAGGGTATATAAGGAATTTGGACCCTCACTGTAGGTAGAATGAGACCTGTCTCTCCAAGTAATTCTTAAGTGTATCCTCAGAAGACGTTCCCTCAAGGAAAGGACATGGTGTTCATATATATTGGGATTGTGAAATCAACATGGTGATCAAACACAAATCATGCACCTAAAATTCAAATATACAGTTTTACATGCACCTAAAATCAAAACAAACCAATAGATCCCACTTGAAAGTAGGGTCTTTGGGGGGGAAGATGTAAGCAGACCAGACCTTTACCTCACAAAGTAGAGAGGTGGTTTTCATGAGGACCTCCAGCTTGTGAAGGTGTGTAAGCAAAAAGTTCTATATGCACCTAGAATTCAAAAATCATATATTTAAATACCATGTGATGCAAGACTTTCAAACAGGTTAACTTCTACAAGTATCAAGGACAAAAACAACAAAAGGGTTCATGCCTCGTATGTTTGGCCTTGTTTTGATGCCATGATTTAGCAACAATGAATAGATATATACGCACAAAATGTATAGATGCCTCATATTTAGCTCCTGTTTTACTATCAAATTTTTGTTATTGGGTCATTTGTACCTCATGTTTTGGAAACCTGCCTACCCATCACACTTTATGGCAAGAAAAAGTAAAGATAGTTTTCCTCTAATGAGGGCAAACTGGTCAAGTCGCTTTTATATTTGCCGATGGGTAGAAAAAGGTTGGAAATAGGAGGTTCAATGGTCAAATAACTAATATTATGACATGTTTACTCAATATAACATGATCAAACAAATATTTTTTCCACCAACACTATATAATACAACATCAGTTGTACTCACCTTTCACGTTCTTGGCGGCATCATTTTGCATCAAGAACTGCTACTAGCCAAAAACTTCAAATATACTCGGCCTAGAAATGTGTAAGATGTTTACAAAACAGGATATAGATTAGATGTTGCTTAAAGGAAGTTTAAAACACGAAATAGCTCATTTGCCAAAAAATAGACACTTATTCTAGGATGGGGAGAGTGAGAGACTTATCATCAATTATTCCTCAACGTGGAGTGAATATAACCAGAGAATATGGTCCTGTCCTTTGCCAAAGCTTCGCTTTCTTCTTTGTCATCTTTTCTTCTTCTATTTATATGAAGTCTGTCTTCACTCCTCTTTTTAAGGAATGGGAACAAGAAAATCTGGAAGAGTCGTGAGGGGTATGGACGACAAGTATAAGAATGAGATGATGGAAGAATGGGAAGAGGAGGATGATGGAACTTATGTGGAGGATAGTAGGAAGAAGGCAACAATGGGAAGGAGGGGCTCGGTCAGTGGAGGACCCACACAACCTTTTTGCCAGGTGGAAGAGTGCACCACCGATATGAGTAGGTCCAAAACATATCATCGGCGACACAAAGTATGTGAGGTTCATGCTAAGGCTCCAATTGTTGTTATTGGAGAGCGTCAACAGCGCTTCTGTCAGCAATGCAGCAGGTAAAGCAAATTGTTACTGTTTCAATTCAGCAGCTGAAAAATAATAACAATCAGCTGGGGATATCAGAACCAATGATTATCAATGCATACATACTACCACTTTCAGATGGAAAACTAAGTCTGCCATAGATTTCAGAGAAAAGGTTGCACTAAACAGGAATGAAGAAGGAAACAAAATGAAACAGAAAGCAAACAATTCAGAAAGCCAGAAATCTGTGATCATTAAAAGAGCATGATTAATAATGTCGAGTACAGTTACCATACAAAACACTTGCTTGCAAAGGTCTTTGGTTTCAGATGACCATTTCATCCAAGAAACCTTTTCGACCAAATGTCATGATGGCTGTGCTGGTGTAATTTTAGAACATGTGCCTCACAATTAGATTAGGAAGAATAATCAATCAGCATGACAGAGGCAGAAAAACCATTCTTCAGCTTTCCTTTATCCATAATAATCGGGTGTTCCTGCAGGTTTCATGACCTAACAGAATTTGATGACGCCAAAAGGAGTTGCCGTAGGCGCTTGGCTGGACATAATGAACGAAGACGTAAAAGCTCCTATGAATCCTATGGAGAAACTTCTGGATGATAGAGAAAAGTAGCACCTTCAGATGATGTAAGGTTCTTAGAGAACACTAAGGAAGCACATCACCAACTTCTGATCAAATAAGACTTATAATTATATCCAGTAGCATGCTCTCTCTCTTCTGTCAGTCCTTCGACTTTATTAACTATCGGTTATTTATGTCTTTATCCATATTTAGTAGTAGGGTTCAGCTAGAGCTTTACCTATTTTGGCCCATGGCCCACAGTTGTACTTTATTATTGATGGCATTAGCTAATAAAGTAAATTCACTTTCCAAATATTTACTTTCTCATGGTACATGGCTCCTGCAACAACTCCCAACAACATCTAATAGCTGCCTTAAAAAACATCTTGGCCGCAGCACTTGTGCGAACCCTTTCCCCCTGGTGCAAATCCTCCCTTTTTCAAGCAGTGCCATTCATGCCAACTTCAAAATCTCATTCACAAAGCCAACTTCCTACTTCAAACAGTCGCTTGCATATGGGATGTTCTTTGGTTATTTGTTTGTGGTCCCATCTGAACTGGTCTTTCCAGAATTCATTTGTTGATTTTTAATCAATTCACTGATTGCCCATGCCTGCCATTGACAGGAATACTATTATTCTGATCTGCCCTAATTTGCAAGACACACAAAAACTCGGGATGATCTCTTAATCTAATTCTAGTGTTGGGCTATTCTTCATGAGTGAGTAGCAGTCTTCACTTCATGCCCCAGCCAGATATTCAGTGGTTCCTGGTTTACCATCCTAGAGCAGAAGTGTGTAGTGTACCTATGTTTAGTTTTGTGTATATTAGGTTTCTGGTACTTGTAGTTCTGATACTGCCTCTGGTTTTCCTTGCATTTTGTATTTCTTGTTAGAATCTGGGATTTGCAGGGTATAGATATTGATGAAAGAACTTGGATAGTATATTGGATCGTGAAAGGAGTCACTCCGTAGGTAATATTTCGACCCTATTGCAGCCTCTGGGTATCACAAAAATCACTTTGATATAATCCAAAATACACACTCAAGAATCAAGATTTGTAGGAAAAATCGAGAGCAAATCACAAAGATGTTTTTTTTGTTATGTTAAAATGAGATCAAAATCCCTTTAAATAGGTAGTTATTTACCAGTTAGTTTAGGGTGGTTAGGTAGTTAATTGCTGATCAAACCATAACTGCACTAAAATTCAGAAGACAACTTAGCTTCTAAAATTATGTTCAACGCAACGTGAAGTGAAACTCAGAAGTCTTCATGCCTTTCTGAATGAAATTCAGGAGGCTACACACTTTCTGAATGAAATTAAGAAGGCTACGCACTTTCTGAAGGAAATTCAGAAGGCTACACGCTTCCTGGGCGAAATTCAGAAAGCAACTCCCTTCTGGAAGATACTTGGTGCATAACCGTTTCGGGACCACCACCAAGGGGCTCTGGTCCTTAAAACCCCGCGATCTGAGGATTTAGGTCCACGGCAACATATATGGGAGTGCACTCCGCACCTCCTAACTCATATTACAGCTTAACCAATGAAACTCAATTGATCTTGAGCCAGTCACAATTACACTAAAATGCTTGATTACACTTAAGTCACCAACATTAAACAAATAAAAATTGGAGCCAACGCTAAGTGCATAGTAACTCTGCCTTTACCTGAAGTGCTAGCCCATCAGGTGTGGATGTGAAGGATGACGTATTTACCATGCCAATCAAATTGAATGGCAAAAATTGGAGCCAGCACTCTACATATGCTGATCATCTCACTAACCCAAATCCTCAAGTATTTGCGCATCAGGACAAGGAAAATCTTCCTAACCTCATCAGTGGGCTTTTCTCGACTTACTATATAGTCCTATGACAAGACATAGTAGGATCGCCAATACCAACCCACATATATTTTGCTCAAGTGCGTTTACATAGCCTCAATCTACATTGCTATCAAATGAACTACTTGGCAAGAGAGATTCAAGCAAATCTTCTTGGAGACCTCTATGCTACTATTCCACAAGCACGTCATATGAAGATAATGCACACTAATACTATTATAAGAATTAATTACAATGAATTCATGAAAAGTTGAACGTACCAAATAAACAAACTTTCAGGAGATTGGAACTCTCCCTTAAGGCTGTTGCCTCAACAATAGAAAAGTGAATGAAGGCATATTTCCTTGTCATATTATCTATTTATAGTTCACTACAACTTCCTTTAACTAACTAACCAACTTTCCACACCGACTTACTCTTTTGTAAAAGAATCATACTATTTACTAAACTACCATTGACCTCTTCATTCCTTATTCATCCTTGCATATGTGAATCTTATTGATAGTCTATCAATACGCATCATCCAGAGCTTCAACATGTCCTCAAAGAGAAAACAAGAATATTGATTCTTTCATGGTTTCCAGAAACAACAATACATTGAGCTTGGAGGCAGATTCCATGTGGGGCCCGTTGGGGTTGCCGGTAATCAACTTTTTGCCCAAATAATACATTGAGCTTTTCTTTTTACATTTATCACCCGATGAATAGTTCTCGCTGTAATGGTAACAAAGTCACTAAGATTTACTCCGATATAACTCCTTGTCAAAGAGTTTTCTAAATTTTAGAAAATAGTTCCGTATTTTGGCTTATTACGTCCATGCTATCCTATCTACTCCAAGGGTATCATCCACCTAAGGTATCCACAATCAATCTTGTACACTAATAAATGTTCCCAATTTTTTGGAGTGGAAGCTATTCATAGCAATGTAATTTATCAATTTTTGGCCTAGTCAGGTACTTAATTTTTTCAAAAACCTTGTAGCATTCTCCTCAAACCATATCCAGATCTTTGAACCTTTTCGTATCAATAGGAAGATTATACGGTATATACAAGATGAGGGATCTAATCAAGAAAAACCTAAAAGGGATCAACAAAAAAGGGGAACCCTAATAGAGTATATTTAACGCTTCTCCTCCCATTGGAGAGAAAATGCTAATCATGCCCAACTTGCTACAAATAAAATTTATTTACGTTTTCCGCAATGGCTTTGTGAGAATGTCCGCAAGTTGATGCTCGATTCTGACGTGTATTGGTTGGATAGTGGAGGGTCTCATCAAAACAGCCTCATCAAGTTGGTTGTAATTACTCCAAGCTCTCTTAGAAGTCTCCTTATCCACGTCATTTTGCATGAGACATCTACCATTGTCCTGTATTTTGACTTGTATCTTCACTTGACATTTAATAGGGAGACAGTATGTTGTTTATTGCTTTTCCAAGAGACTAGATTTTCTCCAATGTCATAAGTATCATTTAGTCGATATCCTGTGGAAAGAGGACAACCACCCCAATCTGCATCCGAGAAACCAAACATTCTACCATCTCCTTCTTTAGTGGCCGTGATCTAAATAAAGAATCCTCAAGCCTGGTGTGGCTTGAGATACCTCATAACCCAAAGTGTTACATCTCAATGGCCCGTATAAGGAGCAGGCATGAACTGGTTCAAGACACTAACTGAGAATGATATATTTGATCGAGTAATTGTCAAATAGTTTTCTCAAACCAGTCACCCGTGTGATCCCTCATATGATTTCCATCATTTGCAAGAAGTTTTCTTGTAGCAAGCATCGGGTCTACAACCGGGTTACACCCCAATAGACCACACTCAATAAGCATATCAAGAACATATTTATGTTGAGATAAAGGATCCTTTGTGAGGATCGAGATTTGTTATTCCAAGTAACGAACAGTGCAAGGTCAATAACTTGAGACTCGAACTTGAAACTGAGAGGACTGTTTTAGACCAATCAATGAACGTCACAATAGACAAACCTTTGTGACCTCCTCAATAACAAACCCGGGTGGTTGTTCCATATACACCTCCATAAGAATGCCATTAAGAAAGACGTCCTTGACATCCAACTTATGAAGCAGCAAATGATTAATGGCAGCTAAAGCAATACAAATGCAAAGAGACATCATTTTAACAATGGAGGAAAAGGTCCTCTCACAGTCAACCCCATGGGCTTGAGAATAATCATTCGCAACTAAACGAGCTTTCAACCAATGCAGTAAACCATCAAATGAAGTTTCATTGCACATACCCACTTAAAAACGACTTTGAGCTTTCCACGAGGTAGTTGTTCCAAATCCCAAGTATGAATATTCTATAGGGCATCCATCTCTTCCTGCATTGCCTTAAACCATCCTGGGTGATTAAGAGCTTCAGTCATATTCATTGGAACAAAATAGCTATCAATGGTTGTGGTATAGGCACAAGACTCTAAAGAGATGAGAGTAGGCAAGATAATCATGATTGGGATATCGGGTACAACTTCGTGTGCGCTTTTTAAGGAAATTTGAGTATCAGGGAGAGGGGCACTAGGTGGGTCGGGAACTCTATCAGTAGACGATGGTGATGATGTGTGTATATCAGGTAATGGACAATTATGATGCACAGTAAGGATTTTTGGGTCTCAAGCACTTGCCTTTGATGTTTCGAGCTTACATCTTTGTGAGCCGAGTACTAGTACTGTCGGGACATCAACATTTGTGGCACTAGTATCGGAAGGAGTAAAACGGGAGTGTCGAAAGATTCAAATGGGTCAGGAACAAGATTTGTTGAGTGTTGACTCTAAAGCCCTGTCAGTAGGTTTGACAAAAAGGGATTCAACTCACAAATGTGACATTAGCATAAGTGAAATACCTATGTAGGGTAGGACTATAGTAATGATAGCCTTTTTGGACACCAGAATACCCAACGAACACACATGTAAGCTTATTATATTTTTTACGATGATCATGAACAAAAAAATTACAACCAAAAATTTTAGAAGCTAAAGAAAAAAGTGCATTTGGAAACGGTATCGAGACAGGTGTCTTTCCCTTGACGATAGAGAAGGGAATCCGCATCCGCCCAAAAACTTTGTGGAACATTATAACAAATCATCATAGTACACGTTCCGTCTGACAAATGGCAGTTCTTTCTTTCAACAATACCATTTTGTTAGGGTGTATAAGCACACGATAATTGATGTATAATACAATGCTCACATAAGTAGCTTGTAAAACCAGAAGAGAAGTATTCTTTGGCATTATGAGATCTTAGAGTTTTAGTAGAGACACCAAATTGGGTTTTGAATATGCATAGAAATCACAAAAGATATAAAAGATTTCATTGCGTGACTTTAGCAAGTAA